TTTTTGGCTTTCTCTGGGGACATGCCTGCATGCTGAGCAGTGAGCCCGAGGCTGCACGGTTACCCACAAACCGTGCACGGCCACACGGATGAAAAGTCCTTTTCTGAACATGGGAGGTCTCTGAAGTCAAAGCTAGAAAAAAAGGTTGTATAAATATGCAAGGATCCCGCTGCTCTAACGGCTTAAAGACTGATCTACTGTTTTCTGTGACTTTCCTGTTTGTGGTGTCCCCAAGGATGTTGTATGGTCATGGTGCTGGCACATGGCACAATTGAGCAGTGAGAATGAGAATATTTCACGGGTCTTTCTTTCCTCAGACTAACCTTTCTGCAGGTCATGGTTATCCTTGCAGTCTCTTTGATGTACTAGCTTAAGACTCTTGTATGAACAGGTTTGCTTTGGCTGCTCCGAAGGGATTTCTCAATCCGCTCTGTGTCTTCTGCTGGAAGGTGCTGGATTGAGCCTGACTGATGGAAAGTGCTGGATCGAGACTCATTCCTTCAGCCAAGGAACAGCAAAGTCACTGCTGTGCTGCATCCTGCCCCTAGAAACCCCGAGGACAAGAACATCTGTCCTGAGGGCCAGTACCTTTGGCTGGTCCATTTCTGAAATAAGGTGCAATAGTTTCTCTCTGGAGTTAGAAGTTGTTTCAATAATTCTAGCACTGTGCATGAGCTTAAATTGTCTTCTGGGAGTTAAAAGAGCCTTTTCTGAAATTCTAGGGAAGTCCAGATGTCCCATAGCTTCTGTGAGCAGTCTGAGAAGGAAAAGACTGAGAGGGATGGGTCTATGAATCATCTGTCTATCCTATGTCTATGAAGAAGAAATAAAAACTCTGATTCCAAAAGAATCCATTTAATTCTGGAATTTTCTGACCTATTTTGGTGCATGCTGGACTAAAAAAAAAAAATTAAACTACTGCTGATGACTTTCTCATATTGTTTACTTTTGTAACGTTCTCTGTGGACTAGCAGCCAGAAATGACGTCCACCCCTCGTCCAGCATCAGAGAATAAGAACTTCAGAGGAAGGAATGCAACTTCATAAATAGCAAACCACAGACACTAATGGGGAGCAGAAGCAAACCTGCAGGTTAAAATTCATTGCAAGAGAAGCCTGTGCATCCAGACTGCTTGTAGATGCAAGGATGACTTCAACTCTAGCCTTAGTTTTTCTCCTTTGCCTCTCTTGTCCTTTTTCATCAAGTCAGCAGCGAAGAGCAGGTAAGTGATTTTAATTAGCTCTATGCTTTCTGTACTGCTATGTAAATTCTGTTTTGCAGCAGGGAAATGAAGATGATAATGTTTCAACTGCATCTGCTGAAGCCTGGGAACAATGCATTCAGATTTGTAGTTTCATCTGAAATTTTAAGCTGAAGTGTGTAAATGTTCACTCTGCTTCCTGCCTTCCAGCTCACCTTCTGAACAGTGAGGATTTTTAATTGGGGAAAAAAAAAAGAAGAAAAAAGAGTCAAACGAATGCACATTTTTGTGTCTCTGGCAGGTCATTAGAGAACGTAACTTTATGTTAATCTGCATTTTGCATGTGACTGAGTTAGACACCCAGCAGCTACCGAGTGTCCTGTGGCAGGATCCTTGGCTATTCTATTTGTGTACACAGAGCTTAGGGAAACCCAACTTCTAGGAACTTATTCCCTGCAGGTTCCCTGAGCAGCTCTCCCTTCCCGAGCAGCCTGGCAGGGGGTTGCTCGTGTCCAGGAGGAGCTCCCAGATCCGGCAGCCTCCGCCTTGAGATCCCGGCGCAGCCGTGGGGCTGCGCGAGCACAGGGAGCCCCAGGGAAGGGTGCACAGCAGTGTCTGCAAATGCACAGATTTCTGCTGGAATTTGTTTCTGAGTGGATGACCCATTTTTGTGAATTTGAATACCTAAAAAGAACCACATCCTTTTCTTTTGAAATACATCTTGTTCCTAGGGGTAGAAAATTCTTCCTAGGTATAAGAGAGGCTGCCTGGACCATTCATGCAGAGCTTATACAAAGTCTCTGTTTGAAGCTAGAAATCATGCGGATGTTCCTCATCTTAAATAAAAAGTCCCTTCATTCATTATTTTTGTCTCAGACTGACACACTGGTGTTGCTTTCAGTTTAGTTCCCAAACTGAGATGTACTGAGAGGCTCCAAACACTCCCCAGGTCCCTTCGGTTCCGTGCAGGAATCCCCAGGCTCCCGGGTCCTGGGGCTGCACTCGGCAGCGAGCTGCCCTTCCCCGGCTGCCGCAGCCCTGAGTTCTTAATTTGCTGCTTTTGGCAGAGGTTTCCTACGTGAGAGCTGCTCGGAGCACGGCCGGGCGCCCTGGCACCTCCCGGGCAGGCAGGGCTCATTTTCCTGCTCCATCCTGCCCGGAGCAAATCCCAGCCTCTGTGCAAGACTGTTCCTTCCAGCAACCTTGTAGGAAGTTTGCTTCCTAAAAAACGTTAGGAATTGGGAGGGAGTTTTGGTGTGGAGGATTCTTTATCTCTAGTGTTAAACCGAGGTCATTAATACCAGTTGGTTTGTGCTGCTAACAGCTCTTCTGTCTTTTGGAGCTTTTGTTTTTGATGCCTCCAACCAATGTGTTTTTTACAGGAGTTGAAGTTGGCCCTGAAATGCTGGAAGAGATGAGACAAACTAACCGGGTGCTCATGGAAGTTCGGGAGTTGCTAAAGCAGCAGGTGGGTGAGGAAGGGACCCGCTCCCCTCGTGCAGAGCTCGCCGGGATGCCCAGCACGGAGCCCTCCTGCTCTGCGGGAAATTGTGGGTTTTCCTATGATGATGGGGAGCAGGAGATGGTCTTGCAGTCAGATGTGTAATTCTGGGATAAAGTAGATTCATTTGAATGCAAATTTTGTTCCTTAGAAGTATGTCTACTGAAAAACAGCATGAGTGGAGAAAGAACAAAGATGTGAATACAGCAGGCATATGTTTTGCTGGAAAAACAAGTCACTTTTTCCTTGGTTTTGTGGGCTCATGAAATTGGTAGAGAGAGGCCAAACCTGGGAGATGGAGGAGACCTTTCAGCCGTCTATCAGGGTCCTGGAAAGGGAAGCCATATGGAGTCTAAACAAGGTCTGCATTCACTCCGCTCTCTTTTTGCTTTAATCCTAAGCCTGTCTGGCTCCAGTAGTTTATAAGGGATTTTGGAGCTTCTTGGGTGCTTAGATCTTTCCCCGTTCTAACGAGGAGATGGTGGTTTGTCTGGTCAGCTCTTTAAAGCACACAGAAAGGCTCCATTCTCCCTTTATCCGCTGCGGGAGCCGAGGGCAGCGGCTCTGCCTGCCAGATGATGGGAATGGCAGACGGGTCCCTGTGCCAGGGCAAACTGGGCGGCCTCTAATCTGCAAAAACATCTGTTGCATGGAGCTACTCTCACATTTCAGGCTGCTGCATAAATACCCAGTGTTTACTAGGAATCAGGTCAGACATGGTTCCTGGCAGCCTGGAGCAATGATTTCCAGTATTCCCGTCCAGCTTAACAGTGCTTCTCCATACAGGTTTTATATTTGTTCTTGCTCTTGCCACCTATTTTTTTAATCAATGGCCTTTTTCAAGGAAAGTCCCACTCAGAGGAGAAACTCGCATATGTCACTGGAGAGCCAAGGTGGCAGATCATAATTTGTTAATATATGCAAAGATGTTTTAAAACGTGTTTTTTTTTCTTGAATCAGCATTTTGAGATGGCAAAGGAGGCAAAAAGGATGACATTTTTGCCATTAATGGTGCCAAAAAGAGGAGTAATAAAAGGCCAGATCTGTTTTCCTGACGCACAGGATGACACCAAGCCACGTCGGAGGTTAGAAAGAACCTAAGGTAGAATAAAAGCTTGCTGTTATAGAGCTGGTAGGGAGCCACAGGCAGAGGATTTCATCAGAGCACAAAGTGAAGTGATTCACTGGGGGAAGATGAAGCCCTCAGGTGTGGCAGAGAGCTTGAGTAACCGCTCCGGAGCATCCGGGACACTTTTGCAGGACAGACTCCTGCTGGGATTGCTCTCGGGGCAGCCGGAGGAGCTCCAGCGCTGGCCGGTGGGTGAGGAGCTTCCCCGAGCCCGTCCCGTGCTCCTCACGGCCACGGAACCCATCTCCTCGGGGCTGGTGCTGCAGGTTACCTGTTTGCTGGAGCAAACCCGGAGCAATAGCCTTGAGACGGGGGAAGCCTGGAGAGAGGAGCCCCTGAGAGGGCTCCGACGGATCTGTGTCTCCCTGGCTTCACCTCTGCGGCGCCTGGACTGTGGGCAAGCAGAGCTCCAGGATGCAGCTCAGCATCTTCCAGGGTATAGGACCCAAATACAGCAGATTCCTCATTCTTTGTGGCACTTGTTTTCTATGTTTTTAAATCCAATGCTTCCTGCATCTGCCATAGAATAATATTTACCTAGTTAGGCTATAGAAACACTGCACCAGGAGTGACTTAGGGCAGAACAAGCCATTCCAGCTGCCAGGGAGTCTGTGACACAGACTTGGGATGAGGGTTGATTTGCCTGTAAGTAGCTGTGCAGCTCCAGGGAGCCGGCCCCTTTGGCAGAGGGGCAGTGGGTTTGCGTGGGAGTAAAACTCATCCTTTCGCTAAGTGGCAGTTCTTGTTTGCTTCTAGATTAAGGAGATAACATTCCTGAAGAACACGGTCATGGAGTGCGATGCCTGTGGTGAGTTACTGGGTTGAAATGCCCAGTGTGCAGCTGCCTCGTCCACTGCTTCATACATTGATGTCCAAACAAGTAGTAAATCACAGAATCACACGGAATCCCGGGAGGGCTGAGGTTGGAAGGGGCCTCTGCAGCTCATCCAGTCCAAGCCCCTGCCCCAGCAGGGACACCCGGAGCAGGGGCACGGGGTGGCAGCCCGGTGGGCTTCGAAGAGCTCTAAATCCCTCTTTACTCTCACCCTGCTCCTGCTCAGTAGATATTCAGGGGAATGCATGGCCAAATCACTTACAGTTTGACTTTGTGTGCCTTCTACATATCAAAATACTGCTTGAGAAGAACGTTACAAATACCTAAAACAATTCAAATGTAATTAAAACCAGAAAAATCAAACAGCAGTGCTTTGGATCGCATCCTGGGAGCGATGTGTTAATAACACATGGATTTGCATCTGCCAGGACGAAATGCAGTTTCCTAGCGCAAGGGAGGTGGCAGGTAGCGCGTGGTCCGTGGTGCTGGTCCACAAAGGCCTCGTGACCCACACGCGGAGGGTGTTCTGGCTCCAGACCAAGCTGACCTGCTGGGGACACCCGTCTCCCGCGGCAGAGGCCGAGTCCGGCGCCGTGTTCCCAGCCGGAGCTGGTGCCTGGCTCCTGCTGCAGCCACATCGCCCAGGGGCTGCAGGAACCAGGGAGAACCGACCCTGTGGAACTCAACACCAAGGGCACGAGGCCAGGAAAGAGGGCAGCATGACAAGGAGTTTGGCCTGGGAGTTAAACCCTGCATTGGTTTGGGTTTTTGTTTGTGTTCTCCGGCTCAGGAATCCGTCAAACTGCTGCTTTGGGCTTCATTTTGCTCCCTTTGCAAAGCAGGGACAGGGCTGCCGAAGCTCCTGCGCGCGGGCCGTGCTGAGGGGACGCTCCTCGTGTCCCCTAGGCATGCACACCGAGGCCACCGGCCCGCTCGTCACCGTCACGCAGTTCAGCAGATGTGTCCCCAGTCCCTGCTTCCCGGGAGTGCCCTGCACCGAGACCGCCACCGGCTTCCGCTGCGGACCTTGTCCCCCGGGTTATTCCGGCAACGGCTCCCAGTGCACGGATGTCAATGAGGTAACGACCCGGCGAGCTAGCTCAGAACTCATGGAATTGCCTCTCTGTTCCCGGAGCGCCGTGGGTTTGTCCTGCAGCTGGTGCCAGCGCTGCAGCTCCCTTAGCAGCTGAACAGAACCAGCATTTCACTGGAAGGAGTCTGTGTCCCTCACCTCGCCTCCGGCTCCGTTCCGTGGTGTCTTTAAGTCTGGTCTAGCTAGGTATTTCTTTCCAAACATACAGCGCTTCACACAAAATAAACCCTTTAGTCTGCAATGCACAAGAAGGTGAGTTTGGAGAACCCAACCAGCCCCTTCTGCTCCCACAATCTATTGAGCTTCTAGTTGATGAGTTGTTAGAGATGAGATTTATGATGTGTGGAACAGAATGAAACATTCCACAAATACAGATGTGTGTATACAGTAAATATTACTGTTTAGATTGCTTCATTTGCACCTTTAAATCAAACCTTGCTGGGTAGATCTGGGGGAAGGAGGGTGGTTTTTCCTAGCTCTTTCTCGAAATGCAGTTTTCTCTCAAGTTTGCTCCCTGCATGGTTAAGGCTGTCCGTGGCTCTTGCTTTTCCACGTCCGTGAGATTCCTCAGCTGTGTTGTTCTCAAACCACAGCCTTATGACACTTGGCTAGTCCAGCAGCCTCTTGTGCCTTGCAAAGCCCCATCAGCTCCATAGAGCTGGAGTAAAAAAGAGTGAAGCTAAAGGATCCGTGCGAGATTGTGGGGTTCATGGTAGAATGTTAGCTCCCAAACATGGGAGCTGCTGCACTAATGCAATGCTCTCCCAGCACAGAGCTCAAGAATTCAGTGAACATGGTGTTTGCTATTCTTTTGCTTGCTATTCTTATTCCCTTGCACATCCTTTTTTGCAGTGCAACGCAAACCCCTGCTTCCCGAAGGTGCAGTGCATTAACACCGTCCCCGGCTTCCGCTGTGATCCCTGCCCTCCCGGCTTCACCGGGCAAGCGGTCGAAGGGGTCGGACTCGCTTATGCGAGGGCCAACAAACAGGTAAGGCCCAGAAACACCCCTGCTTCCTCCCGAAGCCTTTAACTCTGCTCTGCAATTGTAATCCAAGGATTGTGGAGCCCTCAGAGATACGGGAGGGAGATACGTGACTGTATGTGTTAATGGGAAGGCTGCTATGCAGTGGTAGGAAAAGCTTTTCACAGATATTGGGAAAAAATAAAAAGGAAGAACTGCCTGTGGCCTCTGGTTTTCAGAGAGTCATAGGACTGGTCACAGGACAGTCTTTGACCTTCTTCCTCCATTGAGTCTCTTTTATCCGTTAAGGATGAGCTCAGCTCAGAGCTAAGCTATTTTGCCAGGCTAGAATCACTGCTGACTCTATAGGGGATGAAGAACTTGCCTGGGGTGAGCAGCATTGCTGGGACCCCTGACCTAGGGAAGCTGGTAGATATGGGTCCCAGTAGGGCACGTCGGGGGCTTTACACCTCCAGCTACTTGGGCCCTACAACCCGACAAGGTGGGTACTTACCAAGGAAGTTAATGTCTCTTGTTCTTTCTGGACAGGTTTGCACTGACATCAACGAATGTGAGACAGGAGCTGCCAGAAACTGTGTCCCAAACTCCATCTGCATCAATACACGGGTAAACATTACTGGAAAACCTCGCGTTGGTCTCTCTCTTCCTCCAGGCTGTAAGGAATGCTTCCCTCTGTCAGCTGCTGAGGACGGCTTACAGCAAGGTGTGCTGGGGCTCCTGTTAATTCCTTGTTGCTTTTCCTGGCAGGGATCCTACAAGTGTGGCGCTTGTAAACCTGGCTTCGTTGGGGACCAGAGCACGGGCTGCAGGAGCCAGACAGCAAGACGCTGCCCCAACGGGGAGGCCAGCCCGTGCCACGAGAAGGCGCAGTGCGTGGTGGAGCGCGACGGCTCCATCTCCTGCGTGGTGAGGCCTGCGCGGCGCCGCGCGCTCCGCTCCCCTGCCCCGTTCCCGCTCTCCCGGGTCTGCCACGGGTCTGCCACTGCCCTCTCCGGGAGGCGGGGCCTCGGAGCGCGGCTCCGGGGGCAGCTCGCCCGGAGGGGCAGCTCGCCCGGAGGGGCCCATGGCTCCCGCAGCAGCGGCTGGTGCTGCGCAGGGCACTGCCCGTCCATCCGGAGCCTCCGAGCACTGCACAGCAGCGGAGAAGGGGAAAATCCTGCTGCATCCTGCTGCAGTTTTGCTGCTCTGTCTGTCTGTGTAGGCTCAGGAGCAAGCAGAGAGTTTGTATCTGAGCTGCTTAAAGCACTACTTATGGCACGTTGTCTGTTACGGACAGTGTGTTCCACGCTGTTGTGCACCCGGCTTTGTGATGCTCCGTGCTGTCCACACGCAGGACTGCAGGCGGGGAGGCAGCCGCGTGTCGCAGGACGCGGCTGCAGCGCCGCTTTGCTGCTCTCTGTCTTGCAGTGCCTCGTGGGGTGGGCAGGGAACGGCTACATCTGCGGGAAGGACTCGGACATCGACGGCGTCCCCGACGAAAAGCTGCGCTGCTCCGACAAGAAGTGCCGCAAGGTGAGACGCGTTCGGCTGCGATGAGGTTCAGGACTTCACCCTTCCCTGGTGCCACCCAAAGGCTTTGGAATGGGCACGACCTGCCAGCAGGCCCTGGAACTCAACTGTTGCTTTTCTTTCAGGATAACTGCATGACTGTCCCCAACTCCGGCCAGGAAGATGCAGATAGGGATGGGATTGGAGACGCTTGTGATGACGATGCTGATGGAGACGGGATATTAAATGCTGAGGTTGGATTCTAAGGCTTACCCTGACCCCTAAGTGTACCCAGAGGTCCTGCCGATCACTGGCCCACGTTTGGTGTGAACGTGAAGAGCCTGCAGGTCACAGCACACACTGCTCCCTCCTTATCTGAATAGTCTAAGACGCAAAGTTCTGCAGCCTGTGCCTGAGCTCGGGGAGGCCGAGCAGAGGGACCCGGCCGGGCTGCACACGGAGGGCGGGGCTGCCCGGCGCCGCTCTCGCCCGTCGTCCTCATCCCCATCCCGCTCCGTGTCCTGCCCCGTGCCCAGCACCTCCGCTGAGACGGTGCCTCTGTCCCGCAGGACAACTGCGTGTACACGCGCAACGCGGACCAGCGCAACGCGGACAAGGACAACTTCGGGGACGCCTGCGACAACTGCCGCCTCGTGAAGAACGACGATCAGCGCGACATCGACGGCGACGGAAAAGGAGACGAGTGCGACGACGACATGGACGGTGACGGTAAGAGCCGCTCGGCATCTCCTCCAAGGAGGCACCTGCACCGGCGTGAGCGCAGAGAGCTCCCTGGTGTCCAGATGTGGCTCCTAGTGCCAGGGAACCTGCTTATGCTCTGCAAAAACGGAGCTGGTTTCGGATAGGATAAAGCAGAGCTCAGTTTTTAGATACCAAGATCAACAGTCAAACCACGGTCAGTCACAGGGTTTCAAGGGCTGTCACACGTTATTTCCAGGCTAGTTTTTGCTGGCATGCCCACTGTACGCACTCAGAAATCAGTGCTCGGTGGCCTTCAGGAAGAAACACGTACCAGACAACCCAGACAGGGACACTACATCGTGCTGCAACTTAAACTTGTGGAAAAGGACAGGGAAATCCACGTTGTTAGAAGCTACTGGCTCTCAGGGCAGTGTGTGTCAGGGCTGCATTCAGGGTGCGGGGAAGCAGAGGAAACTAGCTGGTTTTAGAAACAGTCTATGTGCTAGTAACACTTTATTTACACAAAACCCGCTTTCCAAAGCCAGAAATCACAACTGCTGCTGCCCTGACACACGCATATTTATTTACACATTATTTCCAGTGCATCTAGTGCTGTTTGGGTCTTGCTGCTTCCTGCCAAGCAGCTCCCTGCTGGCATGATTTGCTGCTGTAGTAGGTAAATGCAGAAAAGCAGCAAGTGAAGTCATAGAGGTTGCTGATTAGATTGTTCCTGTCTGTCTCAGGCCTTGAAAAGGCACTGTCTAAATCTTCCATGTAAAACAGCCAAAGTTAACCTTGACTTACTTTATAATTATGTAGCAGTCTGCTTTGGAGGAAAAAGACTCTATTATGGTTTGGGGAACTGCAGACAGCTTCATCGTTTTGGCCTCTCATGCCTGCAGGGATATGGTGCCAGTTTGGAGCAACATTCCTTAGTTCCTTAGCTTTCTCTAGGGAAAGCAGTTAGGGTCATTTCCTATTTCAACAGTGTGCTTAGACACCCGTAACGGTGCGGTTTGAAGTATGGTTTTAAGATAAGTTGCTGCTTTCTTCCTCCTCCAAGAGTAGCTAGGATCTAACTAACTTAGATGAAAATCCTAACAGCATTAATGACTTGATGGGTCCATTTTTGTGTGTTCTACAGGAGTCAAAAACCCAACAGACAACTGTAAAAAAGTCCCTAATCCAGATCAGAAGGACGGTGACGGAGACGGCGTGGGCGACGTGTGCGACAGCTGCCCAACAGTCAGCAACCCCGACCAGGTGAGCCGGCGCTTCCCAACGCGCCGTCCTGGCGCTTCCCAACCTGCCGTCCCAGCGCTTCCCAACCTGCCGTCCCGGCGCTTCCCAACCTGCCGTCCCAGCGCTTCCCATGCCGTCCCATCGCTTCCCAACCTGCCGTCCCGGTGCTTCCCAACGCGCCGTCCCAGCGCTTCCCAGCGTGCCGTCCCAGCGCTTCTCCTGCTCCAGAGAGGGCTCACGGTGCTCTGGGTACCCTGTACCCTGCCAAAACTGCCTCTTGCAACTTCTAGCTACTGTCCTGTAACACCGAAGGCAACACCTAGAAACCAAAATTCTCATTGTGCAGAGGAATATGACAAAGAGGGAGCTTAGCATTTTGCATCTATCTCGTCCTACCCTGCACACTGGTGTTTTTTGCTGCTTCAGTTCATCTGGGCAACTTGCAAATGCTTGTGAGGTCTCTTTTTGATCAAAACCCTGTGGCAGTGAGGCTAACCCCTTTATTAGTTCTCCTTTATTGCAATTATCTAGTTTCATCTGTGGTAAGTTAAATGCTTACTGCTTTCTTTTGCTAGAAAGACACCGATCATGATCTCGTGGGAGATGTCTGTGACACCAACCAGGACAGGTGAGAGCTTCCTGCAAAAATTCTGCTTGGACTGCATGAATGCTGGGGGAGGGCACGTTCTGTAACTCTGCAATTAAGAGCGGAGTCAAGGCGAAGCCTGTCACTGTTCCGTTAGCAGACAGGGAAGAGGGAAGTTTTCCTGGGCCCTCGGAGAACCGTGCAGTGGTGTCATGGGCCAGCTTGCTCACAGCTTTGCTTTGCACTGCCTGTCTCTGCTCCGTTCACAGACTGCAGCTGGAGTTCTCATCTGTTTTACTGTAACTCTGACAGCTCCAGACTCACTAAGGCTCAAAATCAGCAGCGTTCCCCGTTCGTGCTGCACTCCACTGCTGGGAAGCGGTGACGTGCTTCCTCCCAAAGCACCACCCCAAAGTCTCCTCCTGACCCGTGTAACGCGTTCCCTTGTTTCCCCACGCACCAGTGACGGGGACGGGCACCAGGACACCCGGGACAACTGCCCCTCAGTGCCCAACAGCTCCCAGCTGGACTCGGACAGAGACGGGCTGGGAGATGAGTGTGACGATGACGACGATGACGACGGGATCCCGGACCAGAAACCCCCAGGCCCTGACAACTGTCGGCTTGTCCCCAACCCCGGCCAAGAAGACTCGGACGGTGAGGGGACAAACTCGCTGGCTCTGCGCGGGCTGTGACTGAAGCTGCTGCTTCCACTCACAGCGTTTCTGCAAGCAGGAGGGAAGGGGTCGGGGTTTCTTCATCGCCAACTCATAGCAAAGAAAGGGTGCAGGAGCGCAGCCCACGCTGACCACCCCCAAGCCTTGCGTGGACAAAGTCACCCGAAACTGTGGGAGCCAAAAGCTCGCCGAGTAAAACCTGCATGCCAAGGAGACGGGGAAAACAAGGAAAGTTTAACACTTCTTTCATTCCAACGTGTTCTCGCAGGCGATGGTGTGGGAGACCTTTGTGAAGAGGATTTCGACAAGGACATGGTGATCGACAGAATCGATGTGTGCCCAGAGAACGCAGAAGTGACACTAACAGACTTCAGGGCTTTCCAGACAGTTGTTCTGGACCCTGAGGGTGATGCTCAGATTGATCCCAACTGGATTGTCCTCAACCAGGTAGGTGACTGCTCCAGGACTGGACAGTCAGGTGGTGCCAAGGCTGTGCCAAGCGGGATGCAGTTTTCATTAAAACCGTTGCAGGTTTAATGCTACTGTACAATAGTGCCCTATTCCTGCAGTCTCACCCCTGGATATCTCTCCCCTGACTGGTTAACAGGAGTGTAAATCATTATGTTTGCAGTATAAACTAAGTCAACGCTCATCTTTCACAGGGCATGGAAATAGTTCAAACCATGAATAGCGATCCTGGTCTGGCTGTAGGTGAGGCTCTTATTTTTGTTCTATTGCAAGATTAAGGCTCATTAATGGGGTATCTTTCTCCTTAGTGCAGCTTTTAAAAGGATTTCAGTCACTACTTAATGATTTCATCCACTTGCCCCGTGTTAGAGGGGAGAATATTTTCTGTACAGAGAGCAGAATCCTCAGATTTGCTTAGCACAGTCTCTGCTTTTGGAGGAAGCAATCTGCGTTTTCCCTCCAAATACAGAATATTTGTTTCGCTACCACCTAAAGGTTACACGGCCTTCAACGGAGTGGACTTCGAGGGCACCTTCCACGTGAACACGGCCACGGATGATGATTACGCTGGCCTCATCTTTGGCTACCAGGACAGTTCCAGCTTTTATGTGATCATGTGGAAGCAGATGGAACAGACCTACTGGCAGGCAAACCCCTTCCGAGCGGTGGCAGAACCTGGAATCCAACTGAAGGTAAAGAACGCAGTGCCTGGAAGTCCCTCATGGATCTTGGCCTTTCTCCCAGTTCTGCTGCTTTCCCCGTAGGCCGAGACGGCAGCTCTGCCCGCTCGGGCTGTTGCTCACGATTGCCCCGTCTCTCCTCTCCATCAGGCAGTGAAATCCAAAACAGGCCCAGGGGAATATCTCCGCAACTCCCTGTGGCACACGGGAGACACCACGGACCAGGTCAAGCTGCTCTGGAAAGACCCCCGCAATTCCGGCTGGAAGGACAAGACCTCCTACCGCTGGTTCCTGCAGCACCGGCCTCAAGTGGGATACATCAGGTCAGGGCTCCGCGGGTTCCTCCCTGTGGCCGAGCTGGACGTTTAACACACACATGAAGTACCTTGGCTGCAGTGTGCTGGGACGGCACGGGATCTCTGACACAGGTTGGAGAAACTGCCGCCCTCGGCTCACGCTCACGCTCCGCGCGTGCCGCTTCTCTTGCAGAGCTCGCTTCTACGAAGGCCCTGAAATGGTGGCAGACACTGGAGTTGTCCTTGATACAACTATGCGTGGGGGCCGGCTTGGAGTCTTCTGCTTCTCCCAGGAGAACATTATTTGGTCGAACCTGCGTTACCGCTGCAATGGTGAGTTGGCTTCGGAGGCCAAGTTCAGAAATTTTGGCCCGTTTGTTTTCCTGGTTAGCGTACGTACAACTGTAACAATCATGCAGCAGCTCATTCTGATTTCCCCTTCTAATCTGTGTGTGCTTTAATCTCATCTTCCCCAGATACCATTCCTGAAGATTATGAAACATATAGAGTTCAGCAAGACGAACCTCTGCCTTAAATGTCTGTCCAACAACAATTGCTTAAAAAAAAAGTGCTCGGCTGCCCCACTCTGGCCCCTGGTATCTGTATAAAGAACTGTAAGTAACGTACCACTGCACTCTGCACACCCGCTGCCTGAGCTGGCATCTCTCCTAAAGCAGCAACTTTCTTTAAATGCTACGAAAACGAAGTGCAATTGCAGAGGTGTAGACACCGAGTGTAAATAGAAGCCTATGCTGCTGTAAACACTAGCTCTCTACACTGCGTGGAAAAAGGACGTGCTGAGGAGCTACCAGCAGTAGCTGGGATTGTTGAAGCAAGTTTAGCGTGGATGTTTCCCAGGAATCTGTCCCTTCCTTGGAGGCTCTCAAGAGTGTATATTATTCTTTGCAAGACCTACTGCAAACCAACCCCAGCACTGGTCGGAAAAGCATGTTGCAAGAGCAGCCTACGTCCAAGTTGCTCACAAAAAAAAGCACTTTAAGGAGAGGATCTTTGTTCTGGAATGTTGAATAATAAATACTCTAATACACTTGTACTTGGTTGCATGCATTTTGCTCTTTCCTCTTCCAAAACACTTCTTTGTATGACTGTGTAACAAAGAAGTCCTCATAAGCTGAAAGCAGTAGAACTTCTCCAGCAGCCCCAGCTGAATTAGTAACTCTGTAGGCAGTGTGAATGCACAGGATCTTTCATTCAGGAAACTCCCTCTGCCACTACCCTGCTCTGCCAGATCGTGGCAGCTGGTTCAGAATGGTCAATGAAGGCTTCATGGTAGGTTTGTCTTATGACACTGTGCTAGGAATCATAAAAAAAAAAAAAAGGGAAAAGGAAAAAAGGAAGACAGGTAAGGAAACGGGGAGCCGAGGGTATCAATCCCAGGCGCTCCCCTGAGCTGGACGCACGGATGTGCCACGAGGGCGTCTGTGCTCAGCACCCCGGGCGCTGCCGGCCTTCCGCAGCCTTCCCTGTGCCCGGGAGAATATCCCGGCGGGAAGGGACCTGGGGCCGCTTCCCTGGAGCTGGCCCAGCCTGTCGCTCCGGAGGCAGCTCCCGAGTGCCCGCAGGCCCGTCCCGCT